ATATATATATATATACTGTATATTAGTACTGTTAATCGATTAAAAAAATAACTAATCACACATTTTTTCTTAAATTAATCGTGATTAATCGTGGTTAATCCCACCCAACGTTAAAGTTTTTAAATATACTTTTATATTGCAATTATTTCACAATCTTCAAATTAATGTAAAAACAACATAAAGACAGTATATTTTATATATAAACAGCTGTGCTGCCGTTTGAACTTTGAGCCGAGCGATAAAAACAATTCTTGAGCCGCAGTTCAAATGAGTCAAGCTGTTTCGTTCCGCTTTTGGTGCATAAACATTATATCCAACATTTATCAAACTCTTGTCATAGTTTTACCAAAGAAAATCAAATTATATCACTATAATTATCGTGTCATGTAGGCCTATACGTGCATTACATGTATAATGCAGTCTACAATTAGTATAGGCTACACGAGAAATAAATTGCAATGTTACTGGAGAATAGAAATGACTGCATTATAATTGCACAAAGCACTTTTTGAAAAACAACATAAAGACAGTATATTTTTAATATTTGCTTAGTGGTATTTATTTATTTATTTTTTACGACTGAAGGCGAGTAAATAAACTCAATTCTTGTCAAGAAAAAAGAGACAGAAGCAGCAGTTGTGAGTGGGGTGGCCAGACCTAGCTCCGCCCCTGCTTTAATTGCGTTAAATATTTTTTACGTGTTAAACTGAAAAAATGAATTGCATGCGTTTCCGCGTTAATTTTGACAGCACTAATATATATATATATATATATATATATATATATATATATATATACACTGTATATTCATATTTACTATAGTTTTACTCTAAAATTAAATGTCTAAATCTACAGTTTCGTCACTGAAAATGACATTTTAGTTTTTGAGAGTGCAAAATACAATTTAAGCATATATTAACATTTGACAAAAATATATATATATATATATATATATATATATACACTGTATATTCATATTTACTATAGTTTTACTCTAAAATTAAATGTCTAAATCTACAGTTTCGTCACTGAAAATGACATTTTAGTTTTTGAGAGTGCAAAATACAATTTAAGCATATATTAACATTTGACAAAAACATGTGAAAAACTGTCCGGTTGTAAAAATCTGATCTTCTGAAGTAACATTGAGTACACTACTGTAATTAGTGTCATGATATATATATGAATATTTATGCAATTATTAATTGTTTCTGGTTCATTGCGTTGTTATGGAAACAGCGTATTCACAACATGACTTGCACAGTTTGACTAGCATGTAACTTAGTTCACTTGAGCATTTTGTGCAGATGCAAATAAATGTAATATCACATTTATGTGTATATATTTGATTAATCTGATATGTATTGAGTTAATTAACTCACAAAAAAATTGCTTCAGTTTACCAGTGTTCATTTACTTTCAAAAGCTCAAACAGGTAAATTCAATTCAATTCAAGTTTATTTGTATAGCGCTTTTCACGATACAAATCGTTGCAAAGCAACTTTACAGAAAATTAAGTTTCTACAGTATATTTAGTGGTAGCTTATCAGTGGTGAATGTCAGTTAATGTACATATGGCATAAATGTACGGAAAAATCAATTAAAGATATAATCAAACAGACGATGAACACCATTAACAGCAATTATTATATGATGCTATCAAACTTATAGCAAAATTTGGTAGTTCTGTATGTTGTTTCAGGGTTGCCATCATCTGAGGTCCTCTGAGGGGGGATATTATAATTCCTGATATTATTGACTGCATTATCTAAAACATTTATATTCTTTGTATATTTTTCTTCTTCAAAAACATTGTTAGGGCATTGTTAATATCTTGTGCTGTTATTTTTCTTGTCAAATTTTAGAATTTTTAAATGATGCACATTTTTGCCTTTGTTATTACTGATTAAACTCATCAGTGACGATCATTTTATAATTTGACAAATAACAGTGACAAGTAGTTTTATTGATAATGAGATTAACACCGGTTGCAGGTGGATTAGCAGGAATAGATTAATTGATCTGAACCCATGAACTGAAGAGTTATTGTGTTCACATGCCATTGTTGTGTCCTTGAGCAAAGCACTTAACCCAGTGATGCTCCACAGGGGCCATCCTTACAGTTAACTGTCTGCTAACGGCAGATAACAGCATCTTGACTTTGATTTGTGCAAATGTGTAACGTGTGAGAAGTTGTAGAGGTTAAATGGTGTGTGATTTACAGAATAAAACTCAGGGCTCTTAACCAGAAGGTTGCTGGTTCAAGACCCACATGCAGCAAGCCATCACCATCAGGCCCCTGAGTAAGGCACTTAACCTACCGTGCATCAATTTAAAATCTTGCTAAGTCTTTTATTTATTTATTTTTTGGCATTACTGATAGCTTATTTCAGTTTTATTTTTTAATTATACTTTATTTTAGATTATTTATTACTTTGGTTGTGTATTGATGTTTTGACAATATGAGCCATAAAGTACTTTAAAACTGAATTTAATTGAAATTGAGATGAGAAGCAATGTTTTGAATATGTTTAAGGGATCATGTAGCAGATGCAGGAAGGCCAATGAGAAGTGAATAATCTTGTTATTAAATAAACAGAGACTAAACAAACAAGGAGTGCAAAAAAATATTTTGGATTTTGCCAGTTTTGTGGAAAACGAAGTGGCTGGTTTAGGTGGTTGTTTCAGTTTTGACCATGAATGTGATGGCTGGTCTTGAGGAGTACCATCGTTTTTGCACAGCAAGCGTTGACAGCTGTGTGACCTTCCGCTGAGATGAAGATAGACTGAGTGGGGGAGCGTTGGCTGGGGGGTAGGAGAGCTTGGTTTTGATGAAGTTGATCTTGAGTGGTCAGCGAGGTGCCAGAAAGGCATGCTGAGATCTTTGCTGAGATTGTAGACATGGAGACATGGGAAAGGAAAGTGGAGTGTTGTCAGCATGGCGGCATCATCTTTGATGATATGTGATTGTGTGATGGAAAGATACCCTGGTTTAAATCCCAAGTGATTTTGCTTTACAGTAAACTACGTAGCAGGCCATATCTGATTTGATATTTTACTGACTTGAGTAATTTGACCTGTGCTGTGTTATCAACATAATGTCAAACATTAACAGGTGAAGAGACTTTTTTTTTGCAGACAGAAAGCAACTGAAGTATGAAAGTTATAGCATAGGAAGCTGATTGGAAAAATGTAACTTCTAAGTCACAAATTGTTTTGAATGAGGGGGACAGGTGCAACAGAATGTGGAAACACTTATGCGCTGTGGGAGGCTTTCAGTACTGTTGTTTATGTAGCCTATGCCAGAATCCGTTAATGCAGCCAGACTGATAAAGTTTGAACTTTGCACTTTTACATATTTACTTAGCCAATAATAATAGAGGCTTTTAATTTGGTAAAGCAAATTTGGTAATAGTTAGCTTTTGCTAAGAAATTCTGAAATTTTTAAAGAGTAAAATAGGATGCATAAGGTTCCTCCTTCACCTTACAAGGTAACTTTCAGCTTGTATATTAGCAACTTGAATATTATGTGAGCAACTGATCAACAGCTTTGCATAAAAATCTGAAAAGTATGTCTTATAAGTTTAAGAATAAATGATGTATATTTTTTCATCTTATATTATTCTATGCATTAATTAACTACTGTAGCTCTGTAATAAACAGGCTCTTTCTTGAGCAGAAAATCTTTCTGAAGGATCATGTGACACTAAAGACTGGTGTAATGGCTGCTGAAAATTCAGCTTTGTCATCACAGGAATAATTTACATTTTAAAATATACTAAAATCGACAACAGTTATTTTAAAAATAATGAAAAAATTAATTAGGCAATATTACTTTTTCACTGTATTTTTAATCAAATAAATGCAGCCTTGGTGAGCATGAGAGGCGTCTTTCAAAAACATTAAAACATCTTACCAACCTCAAACGTTTGAACAGTAGTGTATGCCAAACAAATAAAATATTGCAGAATATATCTTGAAACAGAGGGGAAGGAGCGGGTGGCTGCACATTGAGCAGCAGAAAGCTGAAGTATTTTTTCTCAGGAGAGTAGGAGGGGTTGCTGGCAGGCCGTAGGCTTTGTCACTATTATGTGGGAATAACTGAAGTTGCCTACAGTACTTTGTTCTTAACGTAGCACACTCTTTTTCATGTTTACTCTGTTTTAATTTCTCTGCAGACAGTGCGTCATGGTGTTCCCTATCAGCCCACAGCTCTGGCATTTGACCCGGTGCAGAAGATCCTTGCCATTGGCTCTCGTTCCGGAGGAGTACGGCTGTATCCTTTTTTTCTCCCCTCAGTGATGCAATGCTGTTTGCTCCACAGTGTAATTTCAAGACTTTAGAAGGACTTTTGGGCTTTGGGATAGCTACTGTCGGAGGTAAGGTATAATACTGTCATGTTTCCTCGCTTTAAAGACCTCCCTGTGGCATAGAGGGGTGTAAGACCATTTGACTGACTCCCAGAGGTATCGCCCACAATGTTACTAATGCATTAATACTGAGAATGACTGACAGAAAAATAGAGAAAGAGAGAGACAGAGAGAATGAGACACCCAGTTCCAACATAGTTGGATAAATAATGGATAAACGTGAGTACTGGCCACTAATAGAAACCCATATTAGCATTAGCTTAGCATTTTTTCTATAATTTCTTTGGCAGCATTATTGAACAGCCCCACATGGAATCTGTGTCTGCAAAACTCCACAGCAAATGAATTGAGTCAAATCAGTATTCTTGCCTTACCAGTAAGCCTACAATAATGTTTTATTTTCAGAGATGTCCGATTCGATTTGCCGGGAAAGTTAAGCAGCTAATAAGACTCACTATTACCACATTTTTCCACATTTAAATCCATTCCACAAAATTCTGCAGATTTTCCCCAAAACATAGAAAATGCAAAGTCTGCAGATTCCATGTTGGTCTTATTAAAAGTATTATTTCCAGTACAGATGCAATGAATATAAATTCACAAAAGAGAGAGAGAGCTCATAATTTAGAAGAGAACTTAGAAGCAAACGTGTGATTTGATTTGTGGTGTGTTTGATTTATTTCCTCAGCCGCATGAATAAATTAATCATGTTCCTTTAACTCGATGCCAGCACTTGTACAGCTCGAGTGTCTGGAGTGTTTTATGATTTGGAAACATTAATTTTTTTGGTTCGTCCTTAATGATCATGCTATTTATTTAGTTTATCACAAGAGGTTTCCTTGCAATATTGAGGAAACAAAGCCTGTGTGCAGAGAGTCAGACAAAGCAGGAAGAAGAGAGAAGAAATGCCCAGAAATCATGTGGCAGATGAAACGATGAAAGGAGGGAGGAAAAGAGAGATAGTAGGCCATTTTTGCATCACAGTGAATTAGCTTTGTGCTAATAATGGACCTGTCATTACCGTAGATAACTATGGACTGTGTTACTTAACTGTGAAAAGCATGACACTCCCTGTCTCTCTCGTTCTTCAAGATACTTTTTTTCTCCGCTGTTTCTGTCTGTCTTTCTGTCTATCCTTCCTTCCATGTGTATTACATGCTAATGAGACATGAAAAGAAGGGGCTTTGACTCTGTTGGGAGTCATTTCTGTGTCAACTGGCAGTTTTGGCATGGACTATTGTGACGAACTCACTGTATGCAAAAATTTTAGATCATCATTGTATTTTGTTGCATTACATACACTGCAAGGAGTACTGTATTCCTAGGCCCTTTATTAGGGGGCCTAATAATGCCCATAGTTAAAAAGGCTTAACAAGCACATATGAGTGTAGTGTTTGTCTAGGGATGCACAATATATGGGTGCACATACTGTATATTGCTTATTCGTCAATATTAGAGATTTTTTATGTACTGTAATATACACGCTACCGTTCAAATGTTAGTGGTCGGTAAGACTTTTTCCTTTTTTTATGTTTTAAAAAGAAATCTCTTAATCTTACCAAGACTCACCTATACTTTTAAAAAGTACTGTAAGTATTAACATGTTTGATTAGATATGTAATTGTGCATTTTTACATTTAGATCACCTTTACCACTATTTACCACTTGCTTAAAGTTAATCTTTAAAAACACTAATGATTTAAAAATTAACTGTTAAATGAAATCTGATGCCAACATTTACTTGCAGCATAATTGTTTTTAAATGCTATACAAAATGCTATAGAATTCCTACTTTTGGACATACAGTTGATTTTCTTTCTGATGGCTTACTGGTTGTATTTGTTTGACTCTTTCTCTCAATCTTTCACTGACTCCGGGCAGAATGGTATATTTAGTTCTTGTTCAGAGCTCTGTATTGATTGAGAGATTCCAAAGTTAAACATTCACACTGCACTATTGATTATCAACCTTTCTGTGCACTCACTGCATACACTGTGTGCAAATAATTTTTATAGGAGAATACTCTGCGTGTGTTTGTGTATGAGTTTGCATTTGTGTTCATTTTAGAAAGATTTGTAAATATATATTAAAGTAGTCTCTCTTTATAGTTTAGGAAAAAAAGACAGCTAACAGTTGTAAAATATACTCTTGCATTATGTATTGTGTATAAAAATAGGCACAATGCTGAAGTAAGCAAGGAGCACATCATACTAACCAGATTTGTTGATGTCATCTATGCGTGTGTGTGTGTGTGTGTGTGTGTGTGTGTGTGTGTGTTGATGCAGCTCTCGCTGTTTCTGTCTGTCTTTCTGTCTATCCTTCCTTCCATGTGTATTACATGCTAATGAGACATGAAAAGAAGGGGCTTTGACTCTGTTGGGAGTCATTTCTGTGTCAACTGGCAGTTTTGGCATGGACTATTGTGACGAACTCACTGTATGCAAAAATTTTAGATCATCATTGTATTTTGTTGCATTACATACACTGCAAGGAGTACTGTATTCCTAGGCCCTTTATTAGGGGGCCTAATAATGCCCATAGTTAAAAAGGCTTAACAAGCACATATGAGTGTAGTGTTTGTCTAGGGATGCACAATATATGGGTGCACATACTGTATATTGCTTATTCGTCAATATTAGAGATTTTTTATGTACTGTAATATACACGCTACCGTTCAAATGTTAGTGGTCGGTAAGACTTTTTCCTTTTTTTATGTTTTAAAAAGAAATCTCTTAATCTTACCAAGACTCACCTATACTTTTAAAAAGTACTGTAAGTATTAACATGTTTGATTAGATATGTAATTGTGCATTTTTACATTTAGATCACCTTTACCACTATTTACCACTTGCTTAAAGTTAATCTTTAAAAACACTAATGATTTAAAAATTAACTGTTAAATGAAATCTGATGCCAACATTTACTTGCAGCATAATTGTTTTTAAATGCTATACAAAATGCTATAGAATTCCTACTTTTGGACATACAGTTGATTTTCTTTCTGATGGCTTACTGGTTGTATTTGTTTGACTCTTTCTCTCAATCTTTCACTGACTCCGGGCAGAATGGTATATTTAGTTCTTGTTCAGAGCTCTGTATTGATTGAGAGATTCCAAAGTTAAACATTCACACTGCACTATTGATTATCAACCTTTCTGTGCACTCACTGCATACACTGTGTGCAAATAATTTTTATAGGAGAATACTCTGCGTGTGTTTGTGTATGAGTTTGCATTTGTGTTCATTTTAGAAAGATTTGTAAATATATATTAAAGTAGTCTCTCTTTATAGTTTAGGAAAAAAAGACAGCTAACAGTTGTAAAATATACTCTTGCATTATGTATTGTGTATAAAAATAGGCACAATGCTGAAGTAAGCAAGGAGCACATCATACTAACCAGATTTGTTGATGTCATCTATGCGTGTGTGTGTGTGTGTGTGTGTGTGTGTGTGTGTGTGTTGATGCAGATCTTGGCAGGGTGGCAGAATGCAGTGCTGAGATTGGTGTGGCATTCACTTCACTGCAGTCAGCTAACTGCACACGCTCTATGAATGAAGACAAATAATCAATCTCATTTTAATCCTATAAAGTCATTCTGAGCTTGTGCAAAGGAAGCAATGCTATAGAATCAAACACGGGCAAAAACATCTGTCTTAAGATTCTGTTTCAAGAAAATACATGAAAAATGTAGCTCAGTCCATGTGCAAATGAATTTGACCCCTGACCTACAGCAAGTAGGGACAAAATGTAATTGTCATGTAGATGTAACAGTCTATGCAGAGTCTTAACAGATTATGCTGGCTGCTTGTGTGTGTAGTGTATGCAGTTGTGTAGGTTTGGCTTGAACATTGATGGGACACATAGGAGGCAAAAAACAAATGGATATGTTTCAGTATTTTCAAATTCTTCAAAATGGCACAATTTCAGGATGGTACACAACATTTGTTTCTGTTTGTGAGTAAGTGTAGCATATTCAGTGTTATTTAGAAAAGTTGCACTCTGAATTGTGTTTGCATTTTACACAGTAAAATGGTAAAAGTGTAAAACATGAGGTTCCAGTTCATTTATACACTACCATTTAAGTTGTAGTTTTGGGTCAGTAAGATTTTTTTATGTTTTTAAAAGAAGTCTCTTATGCTTAACAAGGCTGCATTTATTTGATCAGAAATACAGAAAACTTTAATACTGTGAAATACTGTTACAATTTAAAGTTGAAATGTTTTCCATTTTAATATACTTAAAATTTAATTTATTATTGTGATGACTCCATTCTAATATTTCGATTCAAATATGTTGATTTCATGTTCAATAAACATTTCCTATTATTATATAAAAAAACATTATTATTTACTAAATTATTTTCAGTTGTGATAAAATTAAAGTTAGACTGGTGCATGGTTGAGGGCGACAGTTGACTCCCTTCCGAACGTGGGCCGCTCAAATCTACACCTTTGAGCATATATGTCATTCATCTCTGGTGTTTTTGTCAGGATCTCCTTTGTGACACGGGTACACTATGGGCTGCTTTTTGTGTGAAGTAGTCCTTATCGTAGCAGGAAGTGAAGAGAGGATTACTGTCCAATAGGAGGATGGTAATATAATTCTCTACCCATGTGTGTGCGCATGTATGTGTTCAAAGACGTAATTCAATTCAATGTGCATTTCTCAGAGAGTTTGTAAGTTTGTATGTGTGCCAGTGTGTGTAAGTGTGTACTGTACATGCGAACAGGTAATAGAATTCTCCTCTGTGATAAGCTGTCGATTCTCATCAAAGCGGACTAGCGGAAAGAAAGCGAGAAAGAGGAATTGGTATTAAAGTGATGATGGATTTTGGTGAGATGGCAAAAGCAGAGGTGGGTGGAGTCATGTAACCTTCTGCATCATTCCCCCCCCTCTTCCTGTTTC